ACCAGATTGAATGAGCAGCGAGAATGACAACTGAATGTCCTATATGTTTGGAAATTTGCGATCAAATGAAAAAATTACACAAAAATTTACCTCCACAACCACCACATTTAGTTTGCGTTAATTTTTATAATAAACTCAAGCTAAGAGCTAGTACACCATTCGCAAAAATTCCTTGCCCCATTTGCAGGCAGATTATTCATGTAATTAATATGACAGAATACGATGTCTGTAATATCTGCAACCAATTAGTGTTATCCAGAAACAAACGGAAGGGTGAACATATGATAGTTAAGCACCCATATATTACTGTGTGCAATAACTGCATTGAGAAATGCAAAAACATCTGCCCTATCTGTTTTTCCAAAATTGCCTTTGATGAGTTTTGGGCATAACTTACTTTTATACAATGTCAAACGAATGCCCCGTTTGTCAAGAATTGAAAACAACCCTTCAATTAAGGAAACTTCACAAAAGAAAGAATCCACAACCATTTTATTTTATTTGTGATGAATGCTACATGACTCTCAAATCCAAAACTAACTTAATTTTTGACAAATTCTTATGCCAAATATGCCACCAGGATGTTCACATATTAAATTTCGAACAAATTAACAAATGTCTGACCTATAAAGGCAATAAAACAAGGAATAAACAATTATGCTGTTTGTTTAGAAAGTCGCAAAATGTTCTGCTTGGTAATGGACATTGATTTTGTCCTTGATTATAATCTCCTCGTCGAAGGTGACGGTTACCAAGCGCGCACAAATCGTATTTATATTCATCCCGATCAACAGCAGTTGGATATTTTTTGCCAACGTTATAGTCCTGGCTTCCACGATGAAGAAAAATTTACTGTCAAAAGCAGCAGTAGATTTTTTAATATTATCTTAAATGCATTCAACAATGACGAAGATGTCATCGACATAAACTTCCAAACCTCCAATCGAGTTATTTTTTAATTTTTCCTTCTTTAAAAGAATGATTCAGATAACTTTACCAGCTTTTATATGTAAAATTTTTCAAGCCTGTTATTTTTATTTCCAAAGTTTTCTTTATGTTTCTCAACCCATTTTACAGTACTTCCGAAAAACCATTGAACAACCCACTCTTGAATGCCCAATTTGCTACTTACCAAAATCCAAATTCAAGAAACAACATCATAACGAGCCACATCATCCACCACACTTTATCTGTATAGACTGTCATGACCAAATTGTAGCCCATTTTTCCAAATATGGACAGATTTTATGCCCCATTTGCCAAGTCCCAAATTATACCCAATCACTTTCATATTACTCCCCTTGTTGTTTATGTGAAAAAATGATTAAAAGCGCAAATTGGGGAAATACCCAAACCCAATGTATGGCAAGCTATCAACATCTTACTGATTGCCATCAAGGTATCATTATTTGTACAAGATGCCTCCCTAATACGGCACAATTTTGTCCCTTATGCCACATCCCTTGTGATTTTTCCGACCCCTGGAATTAATCCTCAACACTTTACGATGTCCATATACGATTCCTCTACCTTCCTACATTTGGTAAGATCTATAGACTTCAGTAATCAGCTCACAATTTATAAACCTTTTTAAATAACATTTAACACAAAAATCTCTTTTACACATGCTATATTATATACTATTTACCCCCCCGGTTTTTTCTAGTCCCTTTTACCTATAAAAGGGGACCCCATGGTAAGCCTGTGGATGACCCCAGGTGGACATACATTTAAGATTAGGGGTTAATTAATGCCCAAATTTCCATTTTTTGCTTTAACTACACAAGTTTAATATCTGAGCTTAACTCAGTGTTGTAAAGTGCTTTATTCCTGTGGTTAATAAACACCATGATCGTCTTTCTTGATTTGTATTTCTGTGGTTAATAAACACCATGATCGTCTTTCTTCATTTGTTTTCCGTGGTGGGTTTGTGAGAAACCACAAGATTATATTTTCCACCTTTTATATATATACAATTTTACACTTTGTCCTTCATTGTTCAAACATTTGATAATTAGCCTTAATATCCGAATGTAATTCGGGATTTTGAATATTTGGTCATTATATATTGATGTTTAGCAAAATGGAATACGACCCAATTTTAAACTGGAATTGCAGAAACGCAGACCCTGCACCAGAGGAATTTAAAAGAAAGCTGCCTCTCAGGAAGCAACAACGGAAACCGGTAGCAGTTCAATCTTTTTCAATGGACGACGGGTTAAATAAGAACCCTCGCAACTTTCCCAGTTTAACCCAAAGATTGGAGCTGCAGAAGTGCAGAGAAACCAAATTGGATACGGAAAATCCAAAATATATAACGAGTTTAAAGTACTCAATAAAGGAAAATTTTAACAGATGGAAACTGCCATCGTTCATAGAAGTCGTTAACTCAACGACACTGGAAAAGGCAATGATGCCTATCGACTTCATAACCCAGCCAGAAGGGGTTATAAAGAACGAAAACAACTTCTGGAAATTAAAGAAGAGGGAGGAACACGGGTACATCCTCAAGGCAGGAGGCACGAAAGTCACCATCCCGTTCGAAGGAATAACTGCTTTTCCGAACCATGTAAAAGAAAGCAGACAGCAAGAACAGTACGACATCCAACAACTTACGGACGGAATGAGCAGACTACGAATCAAAAACAAGATTAAAAAGAAGAAAATCGTGAAGTTGCAACAAAAACTAGAGGCTTCACAGAGGAAGATAGCGATCCTCAGATCATACAACGTAGAGCTTGAATCCAGAAGGAAGCTCTAGATAAAACCTAACTTGTCTTTATAACTTTTTCGTTTGATGTTCTCTTTAAATTTTATAACTATAGTATTTAACCATTTAAGTGTTTAAATTTTCACCATGGTAACTGTAAGAATCGAACAGCTTAATTTTCTAAAAAAAGGGGTGAGTTGTAGTATTGCGAAATACTACACATACACAAAAAACCATTGTCTTAATTGTTTATTTAACGACCCAATTCTAAATTGGAGCGTGCCATTTAAATTAAAGCCTCTTTTCACTAAATCAGATATTGACTGATTTACTCTTATTAGGACTATAAAATCTTGTTTTGAAAATCCACTCCTTTTTAAATACTTGTCCAATTTTTCTCATTTTTTCATGCTCAATATTTTAAAAGGGCGGCGATTATTAATACGTCCCTTTTAACTTAACTTGAAACAAACTGGATAAATATTTAGCAGTCTTGCCGGCTGCACTGAAATTCTCCTTGCTTTGATTAAGCAGAGGTGCACCTGCAATACGATGCATCAGAGAGAGTAATATGAATTTTTAATAAGACAAACTGAAGGCTGCGGTTTTTATCAAAGGGGACTAATAAGTTGAAGATATTTGATTTGAAAAAATCAAATAAAAACTAGTTGAAAATTCCCTTATTAGAAAGGGAGAACAAAGGAGCAGGTGAAACCTGAATAATTAAAGATTGAATCAGCCGCCGGTTTATGCTTATGAGCAAAAGGACTGGCCTGAAATCTTCAGTGTTTCATTTTGCTCAGTCAGCAGCAAGTCATTTCTCTTCAGTCAAATCTTTTAAAAATAAATAATTTTTCTTTTCTGCCCTACACTAAAATTAATCTAGCCCTTTTCATTTATAAAAAGAGAATAAATTCTCAGTTTAAGTTTGATTTGAAAAATTATAAATCGAGATACTCGAGATACGCACCCCCGACGAAGTCTGGACTACAAGTACCCAAAGGACTACGGCAAGACGATTCATACGACCCAACCAGAAGTGCTGACTTGGACAAACATCAAGGGCAACCATACATACTAATCAGCCACCGACCTTAGTAAGAAGATAAAATATTGATGAACAAAATAAGATTAGCTCAACCTCCCCTCATAGGTATATTTCTTTAAGCTGTTCGATTCATTTATATAATCTAATAACCCAGTGCTCTGTATCTAACCAACTAATTAATTCATACCTTTGCTAACTATTGTTTCTACTCTACTTTTTGTCAAGACAATTTGACGATCTAAGGTGAGACTTATAATTTAGGATAAAATTACTAAGCATTCAACCAGCAATGAGCGCTTAGTAAAGCTCAAATCTGGCTTCAAATTAGGTGAAAAATCTCGACTCGGGCAGTGGTCTCGGAAGTGAATCTGACTCTCTTGGACCTTGCATTCTACGAGCAAGACTATGTGTCGGCTGCGCATTGGAGAAACTAAAGTGGCATCATATGGGGGGACGTATAACAAATCGCGCGATGAGAAACCTCTCTTAGGGGAGCGATGGTGAAGTGGTTACGTCTCCGCCTCTCAATCAGTTCAATTAACCAACCGGAAGGGTTGACTTCATCACTAGGAAAATGCTAGTCATACAATGTTAAAAATGGAGCTGATTAAAAAACGCTTGTCATATAAAATTTCAATACGCTAGTTGATTTCAATACAAATTACGCGGATTTCAAACCGTTGTCAAAGTACCCGAGCTTGGCTTCGTAATGAATATACTTGAAAAATAAAAAGTTTTGGATCAGTTGAAAGTCAGTCAGATCGTTCTCGGTTTTGCCCTGATATAGGCAGGTATGATTCATTACCTTATGAGTTTTATCAGAAAACAGTTGAATATCTGGATTTCTTTAATCTAGCGCAGCATACTGAAAAAAATGCATGCAAACTAATAGTTCTGGTATGATTAAACTTCACTGACTTTTACATGCAATAAAATGTTTTACAAAGTTGTTTTTCACGTGACAAAAAATGGCCTGATAGTTTTTTTTATTCTATCGGTGTTTTTGCGATTTTTTTATCTCGAACGCAAACAAACTTTCGCCAAAAATCTCTCGTTTACGCAGGCTCGTATTAGTTGTTTGACTTTTCATATGTATCGTAAAAACAATGTGCAACCAAAACAAACCGTCAGGCTAAAACGAATAATTCAGGCGATAAGAAAAAACTGCATTAGTTACAAGCAGTTTGATCATACCTTTTCAACAGAAAAAAACGATTGGTTGATTTAGCGTGTATATTTTGTATCTTCATCTCTGCGCACTTTGTTGAATTACCTCGCATTTTTTCTCTTTGCAGCCAGTTTTATTTCTGAGCTTTTTAACAATTGAGCAAAACCATGAGCTCAACTGAAGTTGAATGTCCACTTAAACATGTAGAGATCTGGAGTCCAACCAGCAAACCCCGTAAATGGTTGCTAATTGCCGGCGCCAGCAACCCGCCAGAAAACATAGTTGTATCGGGCAGAAGACCACGCGAAGCTCCAACTGCTAGATCGGGAAAATATTTGAGCGGTGTGAACTTTGACTTAGCTCATATGGGCCGAGCAGTAGAGACAGAGCTTCATAACATAGTTAGAGACTTCGAAATGACAAAAAACGACGCTACTGAACGTATTAGGAAGTTTTTCGAGTTTTGCTTTCGAGGCAACTTCAAGCCCATGCTTTATTATACTGGTCACGGTGAAGAGGATACAGGAAACTGGTGTTTTCAAGATGGCACAATAGGGATAGAGGAGATATTTTCTATGTGTCAGTCGAACATGGAGTACCCGACAATCATAAGTGACGCTTGCTTCAGCGGTCATTGGGTAAACTATGCCCACGAGAAGTTGGTGAAAGGTTTTCAGTGTTTATCTGCATGTGGAGCTGAGGAGACAGCACTTGACACAGGTTTGACCCTCTCATTTGCGCTATTTACTGGTCAACCATTCAACCCAAGTAAAAGTTATATTATGGGTACCCTGGTTGAGGCCAGTAGCGTACCAAGTAAATGGTCTTCTCACTTTCCCAAAGTGTTGTACCTTTGGTCATTTTTTCTGGCAGATGTTTGTGGCTGAGCAACCCTGCAAGATTTTTTTCAGGCAGAAAAGCTATCAGTTTTGAGGGGGAAGAAAAACGCATTTTTGGGGTCAAGAGCTTGTAGGAGCAGTCAGAAAAGAGCATTAAAACAAAGCGATCTAACAAAAGTATTCGACCTATCTAAAAAATTCGGTACATTTTTCTTTCAAAAAAAAAACATAAAAAATCTTAGTACTTCACTGATAGACTCTGTATTTTTGTTTCCATCTCAAGACATAGAAATTTTTCATAATTGTATCTTTAGACTGTGGTTTACAATTTTTCCAACTCCTGGTATAAAAAATCGCCCGTGGGTCAGACGCTCCTGTAAAAAACGACGTTCTTTCCAAACACAGTCTGCACGTCGGATGTGGTTCAATGAGCTTGAATTTTTTTGGCGTTTATCATCGGACGTTGAAACTCATTTTTTAAATTGTCTTTATACAATGATAAGGGACGATGAAAAAAGTTAGGAAAAAAAAGTGTTTAAGCTAAGGACCATAATAACTTTCGAAATGAATCCAGCAGTATTAGTAGTACTTGCTTTGTTATAAAAAAATATATTTCTTTTGGCAAAAATGACCAAACTGAAGATAATATACATCGCTTTGTTCTGAGGCCTTAAGGCCAATAGTTTTGTGGTATAATTCGATGGTTCGCACCTTTTAAACTCTAAACAACTTATAAAACCATACAATTTCACGTCTTGCTTTTTGCTGCCTTAGCAACTTAAAACCACTACATTTTAAAGCTATTTCTATAACTTAACACCTTTCAAATCCAAAATGAAAAGAGAGCCTACTTGAAAAAGAACTTCGGCAGTTATCAACGACTAAAACAAGATGGTTTTGGCAACTTTCATGACAGTCAGTTTTGCGCTACTTAATTACTATAATTTTTGAATAAAAATTTGCCAAAAAATTGACTTGTTAAAATGATTCGATCCAAAAACGAGCATTCTTGTAACAAACTTCAAAGAACTGCAATTTATAAAACAATTTTTGAAAAAAATGGCATGATATTTAGGTTATTTTGAGCCGACACAGAAACTCAAAAACAAATTCCATTTTTGCTAAAAAAAAACTAAAAGCTTTTCAATTTTAGAATCATTCTCGAAAATCATTCTGAAAAACTTTACCATAATCGTTTTGTGTTTTTTTTTTGGCACAGAAACGCAAAGCTTAAGTTCATTTTTGTAATAGCAGATGCTCATAATTCATGTAATTGGTCGTTTGAGCAAATCCAGTAATCGGTAATTTCTTTTTTTTTTCGCGGAAAAAAATTGGTGGCCAGACTTTACAAGAATTGGCTTGTTTTCAGATGAAACTGTAAATGCGAAAAAAGACTCAATGATTTTTTTTTGATGATTGCAATCAATTATAAATTGAGTAAAGCATAAATTTACTAGCAGATTTTGATGTTTGTCAGAAACTTTACGTTAAAATGCTATGAATTAGCACAAGCACTTTTTAGTTGTCACAATGGTTTAGTAAAACATCTAATTGAAATGCAAAAAAAAAAAAAAATTGTCGATAAAAATCTTAGGTAGTTTGTGTAGCTTCAGTTTAGCACGCATATTTGAGATATACAAAGTTTTTCAATTGCATCAATGGTAGGATTAACTTTACCGTGAATGAAGTTAAGATGAGGAGTTCACACAGCATCAGTTTTAGTATTTGTTTTGAACTTAATTTCTTCAGTATTAAAATGATTAGGTAGCAAAATGTGCGTTGCTAAGTTGTATGGTTTTAAACTGTAAGACACCAATTCTTTTCATCAATCGTTTTTTCCTGATGCATATAATCTGGGTGACAGCCGATGATCAAAAAGTTTTCGTGAGAAACTTAATTAGTCAAGGAATTTTGCTTTTGCAAAAACGCAATTGACTTGGAATACAAATAACTGTAAGCACAATTATACCAAATACCTTGCGTGTTGCATTACCCATGTGTGGAATTGTTATAAAGAAGATTTGTGCGTAACAGGTGTCTGCAAAATAGTAGTAGATATTGACGCTAAAGTGGGAGGGGGGCATGGCGGACCCCATGTTTTAAGATTCGTTATAGGTTTCCAGTCCGCCATGCTATGTAGTAATATTAAGTAAAAAGTCTACAATGTATTAAGATAGGGAAAACCAATGATAATGTTTCAATGTGATGGTAAGATAAAGAAAAATGGAATTTTTTTGGGTTTTATGTGGAAATGTCTAGTTTTTTCGCAAAATTTTTGGCGCGCGTTATCTAATTGTTAAAGATCACTGTTCGGTTACGTGTACTTTTAGAACTGGTCTCGTAAATAGTTTTTTTTTGGTTCACGCAAATTTTTTGGCGCGCGTTATCTAATTATTAAACATCACTGTTCGGTTACGTGTACTTTTAGCAATGAAGGTCTCGTTAATAGTTTTTTTTTGGTTCACGGTAAGTCAATGGTGATTTTTTTTGGGTAAAAAGTGAGATTTTTCATCAAAAAATTTAAAAAATTTTCAAAAAAATTTCAAAACACGATAAGAATTGGTATAATTCGACCTATTAACCCTGTTATAAGATGTTTTTTTTTGAAACAGTGTTCAATCTACCTGAAGTTATGCTGAAACATACTGAAACTTCGAATGAAATCAATTTCTTGAGAGAATAAAATTAAATTTCAAAAAAAGTATACAAATCACTGCATTGTATATTAAATTTACCGCAACATTTTACCTTTTAATATCATAAAACCAAAATATTACGACATCATAAATACATTTACTACATCGGATCAGTTCTTATAAGTTGAATGGTTTTATATGAATTCCATCGTCTTTTTGGATAAAAATAACAAAGTCCGTTCTTTGTTTGCTCATACGTGGCCACCATATGGTTCACGGTTCTGAATCCTCTGTTAGTAGATGTAAGGTTAAACTGCTTCATCGAGCACTCTACCTTTTTGTGACAGGGGACCATCTTTAGAATCTTCTAGAACTCGTTTGCTGAATCCTTTGCTGCAAATTCGAATTTATCTGATTTGCTGTCATAGCAGCAATAAATTTTGCTACACAGACATACCATTTCTGTACATCTAAATTCCTCTTTGAAAAATTCCGGCTCCCGTTAATCATGTTTTTCATGAATGCTGCAACACATTCGAGGGAAGAATTAGATTTAGCATCTGCCTTGAAAGAGTCTCTGCAGTCATGTTTCCTCAATTTTTCCCAAAAAGCTCTTTTATCTGGTTGGGTACAGTCGTATAAAATTTCTTCCGCAAGAGCTTAGTTAAGTGAGTCTGTGTCCATCTCTAACTCCTCAAATTTTTTTTATATCACAGAACTTGTCAAAAAAGTTATGGTAGATTTCCAACATTCTCAGTTTTGCATACTGAAGTATGAAAAAACCAACAGTGATGGTTTCTCTGTGTTCAATGCTTGATTTCAGCAATTCGACCTCATACAAGTCTTTCCCAACTGTGTTCAGTCTTTTAAACGGTAGTTCATTGGTTGCATTTTGAGTTTTTCATTGTTCAGATGCTTATTGATTGTATGTCTGGATCTATCCATGATCTGATATCCATAGGAGGAATTATCCAAAGTCTTCATAGTTTCTGCTACAACTCCTGACAAAAGGTTTTTATCTCCTTCGCTTCTGGCATCAACTACTGATTGAACGAAATTTATTGAAAAAATTTCGTGGAGTATACTGAACAAAACGGTAAATTTGGTGCACTGCAATCGAAGTTCCAAAACAAATATGAAGAGAGGGGTATAACTGTTCCATTTTCTAGCCTGAAACTAGATATCAGCATTCTCTGAGGTTCTTTTGAGATTTCGTTCTCGAATGCATAGTTTTTTAATGTCTTTTCCATTATCATTTCTTCCAACTTCTGTGTTTTGAAAATTGTGGGAAATTTGGCAAGTTTTGCTTTTAGTTCATCTGGAACAACTAAATTGCATTGAACATAGCCAAAAAAAGATTCATCTTTTTTTTTTGCTAGAAAGGAGTCTGTAGAAAGATATCTTTCGAAAGGAAAAAGGGTTTTTACATAATTTTTGATATTTTCATTCGTTTTGAATTTTTCCCACCACTCACACTACCAAATTTTTTGAACTTTGTATCCTTTCTCTTTTATGTATTCGCGTCTCACATCATCCATCTCTCTGTTCTTGTTTCATCGCCCAAAATCCTGTTCTGTTAAGAAGGGCGAGCTTCTTGACAGAAACGGTAATGGTAGCAACATCCCATTGCTTCAAACAGTGTTTTACAGTGATCACAATAACAGTCTACATTAAAACAATCATTTTTCTTCTGTTTTCCAGATGTGAAAAAAACTCTCAATTTTGCATTCTGGTCTTTGTTCCTGGTAGAAAAATATGACCATATTCTCAAAATTGCAAAATCGATTATGCGTAGCCTTGATTTTTGTGCATATCTGTGTCAAACTCCCATCTCGTGTACAGTCCTGTTGGCATCTCTTGATACATTGAAAAGTGGTGGAGCTGACTTGCGTCAATTCCAACGATTGATTTACAAAACATTGATGAATTTTTGATGACTGTTTCATCAAATATAGCTTTTTGAGTGAAAGAATGGAAGGACCACCAGTCTTGTCTTATCATTTTTTTTCACAAAAATTTTTATCACTTTCGCAAAATGGATAAAATTTGTAATTTGTAGATTTATGTAGATTTTTATTTGCTAGATTTGGAAAGTACATCCAAGTTTCAACTTATCAATTCCCTTGTTATGATTGAACTGAATCAATTTTTGCATTGTTTCCAAGGTTGGAACAACATGCTTGTTATTGTACCACTTGAAAAAGTCTTTGAACACAGTCATTCCGTTTTTCTTCCAAGTCTCTCG